TAATGTTTTCAAAATACAGGGACCTCTGAAATTATTGTACAAGGCTCCTTCAGAGAGGCTAAAATGCTTCACTGCACCTAAAAATATGCACAGCAATCTGAGGCAGAGGGACCACAGGTATCAGAAAAAACCTGTAAAAGGAAGATTGAAAGGATGACATAGGCTAAACCCCATTCCTCTACTTAAACGGCTACAAAAAGACCATGATTTATGGTAATTCATTGAAAGTTCTCCAGCACCATCACATCAGAGCACCTTTCAACCTTCATGTACCAACTTTAGAAATTTACCTAAGGTGAGGTCGTAATCCTGTTTCTGCTCTAGTAACAATCAGTGTTGAACAGATGAAAACTCAGGAAAAAGAAAAAGCTAATTTCCTGACTGCCATTGTGTCACCTCCTTTCCAGATGAAGTCTTTTATTCATCTTGACCCCTGTGTCATGCTCAAGATCACCTTCAGATCAACATTTCTCATCATGTAAAATTCAATATGCCAGTATAGGAGAATAAATGGATGTGAAGAGGATTGAAAAGAATAAAGCAAAGTACTCTTAGAGAAACACTAATTATAACCTATAATTAAGGAGTAGAGGATTTCAGAAAGTTGTAAATAATGCTACTAGATTATTTATGGGATTTATTGCACTTTCTAAAAACTAAGGTTAATATAGTTTATATAACCAAAGAGATGCCTGGAATCACAAAACTCAGTGAACAAATGCAAGAAAATTCAGGAGGTCACCCTGGAAAAATGCAGCTAAAAGTTAGCAGCACCTCCTCTGAAGTTGCTTACTCTTAGGGCAAAATCTGGCATGAAAAACTCCCTTTCTTGTTGTGATTTTGAAATCTGGTGCCACCAGTAAAACAATCTATGTTTTGTGCCCTATTATTTGTTATATGAATATTTAATTGATCTCAAGAAAACAGTAAAAGCCCACGTCCTACATGGGCAGTGGCAAAGAGCTTTCTGTTTCTACCTGCCTAGAAATCACACAGCAGCAGAGCGCCACAGGAAAGAGTGGCATCTTCAGCTAACACTGGTACTCCTCCATAATAAATAATTCAGAGTTGATGATCTATTTAAAGCAGATCATAATTAAGTGCAATACAGTTGCACTTACTGATCCACAGACCTACTGGATCTGTACAGATCAAATCTTTATCAATCTGTAGACACAACCTTTTTTCAAGGGGCTTAATCTAAATTAAATCAAATACCACATTAAATGCTTAGACTGTCTTTTTAGACTGATGTGTGCTCCCCTGGCTTCAGAAACCTACTGCTAAAAATATTCAGCTACAGAGTTTATCCAGATTTATAAATAATGTGGCTGGAGCAGCTATTCTCCTAATGGCGCTGTGCTAAGCAGACTTGCAAAGCCTGGCACGGCCAAAAAGGGATCCTGCAGATCCCACAGGCTACAAGAGGAAGAGCTTGGAAAGTCCTGAGGTTTCATTACAGCCCAAAAGGTCTCGTGCTGTACTCACAGAGCTGGTGTTGGTCACACATGTCCTCTACAGAAGCGCCTCCAACCCATGGCTGCACTTGATACAACAACAGGTTCACAGAGCTTGTCCACAGTTTCTTCTAAATAACTCCTAAGTCAACACTGTCAGGAAGCACAGGACTATTGCTAGAGGCAGTTTCTCTCCCTTCACTTTCACAGAAATAAAAGAGGGAAAGTTAAATTACTGTGGTAATTTTAGAAACAATGATTCTATACTATTAACAGAGAACATAATGCACACATGATGATTTAATCCTTCAAAAAGGCAAGTTAAAATTTTCTAATAATTTTGGAAATCTTTATTGTATAGTGTTTTATCTGCAAATAGGTATTTAGGAAACAAAATAATAGAGCTAAAATAGTTTGTTAGTAGTAGAGGAATGACTAACAGTTTCTAGAAATTCCTTTTCGTGTTTTGTATTTAAGCTGAACTAAAATTTTTGTATCTTGGCAAACTTCATTTCAAAGTGACATGTTTCATTACGTTCAAGGGATTTTGCAAAGACAAACAAAGTCCAAATGTATAAAATTTAGTTAAATCTTAAATTCAGTGAGGATATTTTGTGATATAAAATATTTCCTCACATGAAATCAACACTAAAATAGGGAACTTTTTGCTTGTTCCATTAAATGGTGAGATTTATTTCCCTTAAAAGGTTTAATTACTTCCTGTTCACTGATCTGCTCCAATGTATTTGCAGAAGCTGATGTCACCTGGACCTTTGTACAAATTTACTTTTCAGCTTAGTGAGGTTGTTCATTATAAATAGGTTAAAGCAAATTTTAAATAAGCTATTCGCTACCACTGCTAACACCAAGAATAAAGAAAAGAAGAGAGTAAGAAGGATACTAAGGGAAAAAAAACCTTCACTGCTCTGGTTTTCTCATTGAATACTGCCTGCAGCAGCTCAATTCAAATATTTAAATTTTGTCAGCAATTAGACAAGCCTATTGTGCTTAAGATACTTCAGCTAATCCTAAAAGTTTGAATAATTTTCAGTGGGGAACACTTATTTTGTTGAATTTGATGCATTTTTTAATGAAGTATGCAAGAGGGATTGTTTAAGAGCTGCTTACTCTGCCTCAGTACTGGGGAACTGAAAAGACTGCATTTCTCTCTGATTTTTGTGACCACTGCAGTATTGTTTGATCATAATTTCTTTCCCAAAGACCTACTCACAGAACTGAAAACTGAAAATCCATTATCTGTGCTGACAGATTTACCAGCACATTAAAGGCTGTAAAATCACAAAAAGTAAAAAAGCCACATGTCCCCTGGTTTTCCTGTTTGTGGCTCTGTAGCAGCCTTACAGATGCACATGTCCCATGTCCCTCGTGCAGGTGAGCAGCTCCAGGCCAGCCCTCACTACAGAGTTCTCAGGGTGCAGACCTCGAGGGTTTCCACAGCCTGATACTCTGATAAGCAAATTCTTTAACTTAGATGTGTGACTGCTGCTCATTGTAGCCCTGTGCATTTCCTTCGCTTTGGTAATGGCTACAGAAGGTGTCACGAAAATAAAAAGCCACTACATGCCCATTGTTAACTCCTGCTTTGATTAACATTTTTCTTTCCAGTCTCCTTGAGAAGAAATTCTAGGGGTGCCTATTTTACAAAAGACAGGTTCATTTTAAAATAGCTTAAAAGAGAAGAAAATGCCTATAATCCAACTCAGAAAAAACACCAATTTTTTGCTTACTATATAACACAGTCTGAAAGACTTCTGAAAATTTTCACCAGGATTTGGATTCATTGCCTTATAAAGTGAACTAATGCTAAAAAAGGTGCACTTTTTATTTGCTCTCCCTGATGAATGATCTTAAAAAAATTCTGAAGAAACAGGTAAGTATTTTTCACAGTGAGGTACAGGCAAGGGTTGCCTGTATTATCTATAAAATTGAGATGAAATTCAACAAACTTGAGTGGCATAGGTCAAAAAATTCTCTCCTATTTTGCAAAACTAAATGAAGTCACCAGAGAAGTGCCACTAAAAGCAACCAAGACATGGAGTCATTTAAATGGCTTCCCCTAGATGGCTAGGTTAAGCTCTGTTAAAATTAATCCTTTTTCATGCTGGCAGGTGTAACAAAGAAAACCTTTTTGTATGGAGTGCAAAGAGGGTATTTTACCCTCTCAAAGGAAAGCTGCTTGATATTTCCATGGAGAAAACAGCACAAGTGATTAACAATTTAGATTTCCCATTCCTAAGCTTTGTTTATATAAATATATGGGGGATCATTTCTGAATCTGTAAGAGGATTTTCTACAGTCCAATGTAAAGAACTTAAAACTGCCATAAATGAGATGTTAAAAAAAAATAAACAGATTGCCTTGATAAATGCCAGTTATTGCAAACTGAGCTTCACTGTAGTAACACACAGAGCAGCTGACATTTAAAAGGAACCTGACTAGAATGCTAGCTCCCTAGGTAGAATTTTTTCTTCTCTAAAATAACCTCAAGTCTTTGTATGGTTCCCACAAGACAGGATCTCTGTCGTGGTGCTCAGCCCTTCCCAACTCACGGTTATGACCTACTTCAGGACAGCCTTTTACATATACACAAGTAGCAAATGAGCATCTTCTTGAGCTGGGTCCAACGATGGGCATGTCACTGCTGGGACAGAAGGGACTCCAGAGACCAGGTCTTTGACATAAACATGGAGAGCAAAATGAGCTTCACTCTCCTCCACTTCCCTGCTGACTTTCATCCCTCTTCTCTGCAGGACTAATTCTTCCTCAGTTTTTCCCAACTAATATTTCCTATCCCTGACTTGATTTCTGTAAAGGAATGAACCCATTTTCATTGAGAAATAGTGCTAGGTTTTTTCCAAATGCAGAGACAGATGAAAATAGCAAGTAACAGCCATTTCCATCTTCATGCTGCTTTCTTGCTCCCTGGGGCTTTCCCCTCAGCACAGAAGAGAGGATCAATATGCTTTATCCTGAAGCGCTCAGCCTGTGGGAATTGCTTCACTGACCTGCTTCTCGCCTGCTCTTCACAGGTCTCTCGCACCAGTTTTAAAGAGCAGGACCCCAGTCTCTGACTGTCAGAAGGGCTGCCCCATTTACAGAGAGGCACCCTAGGTGCTGCTTGATGGTTTGACTGCAAGCTTTTTGGGGGTATTAACTCTTTTCCTGTTGATTAGCAAACCTTGAACTGTCTCACCTTCTCATGATAAGCACTGAACATATCACGCATGTTAGTACAAAATTTACATACCTGACCCCTCTCAGTTTCTGACAAAGATGCATAAAAGCTATTTCTTACTTGATGATAAGTATGCTTGTTGGTACAATTTCTCTCTGGCCCAAGGGAGGCAAGTCAAAGAATAGGCAATAGAGCATTTAAAGAACAGAAGCAATAGCCAGGTTCATGACTCAGAAAGGACCAACTCTTTGTTCAGAAAAACTACAGACAAGTACTATAGGATAACTGTGTACTAACCCTCTTCCACAGTGAAAGCCAGTATGAAAGTAAGGGAAGGACATGCCAACCTTCACTCCCATGTGCTTGCCATGACAAGTTGTCTGCAGCAGCCATGCAAGATGTGCAGGGTGACTGCACCAGCAGAAACAGATTAGCTTCTGACTTCTACCTCTACTGCTGACCAAAGATTTTCCACATCCTGATCTCCCTGACTGCAGAGAAATACATGCTGGGCATGGTCATAACTTCTGAAAACTGTGATGAAAGAAAATATAAAATTACTCTGAACAGCCCCTGGGACTCTCCTCAGTGCACCTGAGAATGTCAGGACCATCACTGCATAAACCCCACAAATACAGGTAGCCAAAATGTCCCTGTTCTATTCATATGTGCTAAATTCAGAACAAGTTTGAAACTTTGAATTGAATTTCTAGTCTTTGGAAAGTTTACCCTTTACACAGAGATGAAGAACTAATAAAACTGGAAGGAAACAATACATTTTTAAAGCTGACAGACTCAGAACATCGGGTAAGGACTGTTCAAAATGCGCTCACTGCCACATCATTTTGACAGTACAGCACTGTCTCAGCAGGTTGTAATGCAACTCCTTGGTATTTCTAAGTGCACTGGGCCTCTAGGATCACTCTCTGGGAAGAGACGTCAAGGTTGTTATTAGAAAGTTGTTTACATTTAATTAAAACGCTCAACTTATCTGAGCTTCCATAAGGTTAATAAACCCATCAAATTTCTAGAGGGATTATAATCAGAACATATATGTTCCAGTAACTTTCCTCTGTTTCCGCAAGATTTCTATAAAATATTTAAGTCCATCAAATATTGAACATGCACACTTAATCATCTAAACTTTTATTTTAGAATGAGCTTTTTGAGTTTGAGAAGTTATCTGTAAATACTTAAACTAAAAAGAAAACTTGGCAGAAGCACTCTTTAGCTAGAGGAGCTTGTGAAAATGTGACGACCTTTCATTCAGCCTGACTACTTCATAGAGCAACTCTGCAGCCTTTACAGGTTTAACCTCGTAATACTTTCAGGTTTTTGAATCCTGCACTTTCATTGCCTAAAGCTGTACTTGTTTGTGATCCTGCACAATTTCTAGGTGATTTATTAGCCTCTATTCCAGTAAGAACAGCAGTAGTATTTCTATACTCGTGGGCCACCTTCCCTGCTGTTGACATTGTGGACCCACTACCCAGAGCCCACCTAGGGTCGTTAGGATGCCTTTCTGAAACGCTGCCCTATACTGACAAGCCAGTCATGCTGTCCAGAGGCATCCTTCCTCAAGGTTTAGCATGGAGATGCCCTGATCCTCCGGCTGAGAGCTGCTGTGAGAAGGACTCAGAGGTAACTAAGCTGGAGCAGGGCTGGGAGCAGGCAGAATCCAAGTGGATCAGGTCCCTGGGGCACGGCAGGGAGTGCACTGCCTTCTTGGCCCCGAGACAACCTGTGCTATTTTCCACCAAGTAGCACTTGCTGATGATATCGGCAAGGCAAGGCCCACAGCCAACTCATGCATTATGTTGCTGATGTTACAGAATCAAATTTTATAGGAGAAGGCAGCTGGAAGAGGCCTCCAGAGAAATCTAGCTCACCTCTGTCCAAAAACAAGATCAGCAATGCTTGCGTCATTTTGACAGATGCTCACCCAACTTGTTTGCAAAGCCTTCCGATACCAAAGGCTCCCTAATCTTCCCAGCAAGTCTCGACTATTCTTGCCATTATAAAGTCAGGGTTTTTCTAATGACTAATCTCTCTTTACAATCCGAGTGTATTACTTTCTCTTATTCTCAAGATAAACAGTTTATTTGCACCCTTTTATGCTTTTAAAGATTACTTAGCCTTTCCTCAATCCTCTCTTTCACAGACAAAACTTCCATTCATTCTTCTCTTCCGTACTGAGTTTTCTGTATCTGTGACCATTCTGCCTGGTCTACTTTGGTCCCTCCAACCTGCAGTTACAGTTTTCCAGTCAAAGTGGCACCCTGTTTGCAGTGGTTTCATCAGAAATATACTTCTCTAGTTTACTTATAAGAAAACACTGTGAAACAGCATCAAACCCACAAATCAGCAGACACAATGAATGTAATTTCCCTCCTGTTAAAAAGGCATATTGTTCTGTTGCAGAAGGAAGTTGGACATATATTATTTGCTATTGGTATGTTTGTGGCCTTTGCTTGCTTCCATTACCTCCCAATGTCTAGTTCCAGTATTTTCTGAAGAAATTAAGCTGCACTGTCTCAATTATTTTTTTCTTCCTTCAATGTATACAGTAGGTTCCCTTTTTCCAGCAGTCTAGTATGTAGACCCCTTGTAAGTATTCTCCAGATTTTATTTATTGAAAAATGAGGTGTTGCCCTTGTGTCCCTGGATTACTTATGCCAAAGTGGACCAAGTTGGCTCTTTTAGTGAAGATGTGGCTTTCTGCCAGAGAGCAGTAAGCACTCTAATCTCTGCAACTTCATCTGCTAATAATTTGCCTCTGTTATGTAACAGGGCAGCAATTGTTGGCCATCTTCTTATTGTTTTGGTCATTTGAGGCCCATTAAGTCACTGTCACTGTTCATCATGAGAAGCTTTCAATTTTTTAATCTTTGCATGTAATGGGTTTTTCCCTTACCTTGTGTTTAAAAACTGCTCCCCTGTATTTTCCACTGTACTTGCCATATGGGCCTGATACCTCAGGGGCAGAAATTGCCCAAAATGCCTCCTTAAAAATCAAAGATTTTAAATGAAAGACATCAACTTAAATTTGTCTCTTTTTTTTCTTCTGAATATCTTCATAATTGTGGCACTTGGGTTGAAAGATGTGGGATTACATTTGGTTGTCAGGATTCATAAATTAAAAACAGTTTTCCTAAAGAAAAACTGAATTTCTGCTCCTGCCCAGCAATGACAATATAAACTGAGTGTTCTATCAGATATGTATATCAGCTGCACCTGGCCACTTCATATATGTTTCAGTGCTTTTTGAGATAAATAGAAATCCATCAAAACAAGAAATAGCCTGTCTCATTGGCTCTCCATTTGGAACATGGGACTTGCCTTACCACGGAGGACAGCCAGTAGCATAAAAGCCAGAGCCCTGCAGAGCCTGCCCATTTCTGCAGCAATCCTGGTAGGGCAACATGGGGAGGCATGGACCCTTCTGCTGTGTGGGCCACACCACAGGTACAGTAGGAGACTGCTGGGGTCAGAGACCTCTCAGCTGAAATTCCATTTACCCTGCATTTTGGGGTATCAGAAAACCCCTGTAACACTTCTTGAAAATATCTCCTGTGTAAGTCTTCTAAGTCTCTGAAATTTTATCTTTGGGTTTCCTTTTTTTCAAGCTCTAAGAAGATGTTAAAGGCATTTTTTTCCCTCCTCAGTATATTTTCAGGCCACACTGAAGGATAAACCTATCATGTTTCTGACCCACTAGAAAAGCTGCTTTAGTGTTGCAGGAAATGTAATCTGTATGACCGACATGAAAGTGTTATAAGATGTGAGCTGCAGAGATTTTGGAAGGTTGTGTCTGAGCCACAACATCCATTCTTCATTGCTAGGCTTTGCAAGCTAATATCCTCTTAGCCTAATTTAAAATCATTAATTAAAACTGAGTTGAAACTGATGTGTAATGTAATAAGGACAAGAGGTCCCATGCCAAAAAAGAAGAGGAAGTTTTAAGAGATGTCCATGTATTCATATTTGCTCTGCTTTTCTTGAGTCAGATTTTCCTGTATAACATGCCACTAATTTAGTAAAGTCCTCAGATTCGTGAAGTTTACACACACATTTTGATGAAAGATTAGTAATTACTATGATGAAACTAGGAACCAGGCAGGCGGCTAGCAGGTTTTTTTTGAGGAAATTATAAACACAATCCCTCTATTTCTTGGTCCTTCAAGGCACTGGGTATATCACATCAACGCAGTAAGGAAAATCTGTTGAAATCAGTTGGAAATCCTGACTAGCACAATATGAGCTGTTGCTGCAGTGTAAGAAGTTCTTCATCTCAGCAAGTGATATGCTACAACAGGTTTTGTGAAGCGAATTCATTTTCTCTCCCGTGCATGCTGTGGTGGAGGCGGGGAGGAGGATGGGGAGCGGGAAGTAGAAAAGATGGTAGAATGGCAGGGTAAAGAAGTTAGCATTTTTTTTATTAAACCTTTGCTGGTTTTCAGTGGGTGTAAAAAATAGTTAAATTCTGTAATTAAATTATAATTCCAATCTTAAACAATAAAAAGAAATCCTGTAATAATCTATGTGCAGTGCCTGACAGCTGGGCCGTCTGATCCTTGCAGTCTGCTTACAAATTGGTATTAGTGGCACTAATAAAGCTGATTAATGTTGTGACTAGAGACCCACTAACCTGACACTGCCAGCTGGGCACACAAAGGCTGTCAATCTACATGGCAGCTGTTAAACTATGAGCGCCGTAGCCTTTAATTTACATTTCAGCAACCTCCTCACTGTAATGCATTTTAATGGGCATGAATAAAAACCGCTGGTGACGTGCAGGAATTTCACAGGATATCGGTGTGTACACATTATATTAGTAAAATGCCACTTATCAAAAGACCAGAGATAAAGCCAATTCTTTCCTCAGTTACTTTTCTTGAGACCTGTAGCAGCTCTGTCATAAGCAATGCACTTACTGCAAATTGCCACTGGTATAGCAGAGGGCACATTTGCAGTCAGTTTACCCATCTTGAAGAATTATGATAGCTCACTAATTTCCATTATACAAACAGCCAGGAAGATACTATCTGCATCTTAATGGCATTTTCCCACAACTGCTTTGCTTACAAGTACTTTGGAGGGTCCCAGAACAGGTCCTGTCCATCACTCAGTGGTCTTTAGCAAATCACCCTTCTGACACTTTTTGGAGAGCCCGTGGCTGGACTAGGAACCCAAGCAACTCATTCCCTTCACCATGTTATGTGCTGGTGAGAGGATTGCTGCATTGCCTGTGCTCCAACAGTACTATGTGTAAACTATATGTAAACAGAGGTTTATAAGCTTTTAAGACTATCAATCCAGGACCTTCCATAAATATTCAGTCCAACTGATCCACTTACTACTTAAAAGCAAAGAATTTAAAGTAATGATATATGAGTTGCTTTAATAAAACAAAAAATGGAAGATGAACAAATGTTCCAAGGCTAGTCCATAGGAAATATGGTCTACTTTCTTTGACCCTAATAAAAGCATGGTTTCTTATAGTAAATACTTTCCTGCTTTGCAAACTATATCAT